CCCGGGGTCCTCCCCCCCCCGTCCCGCCACCAGCCCCCCTTTGGCAGCTCCCTCCAGTGCCCGCTCTCCCTAAATCTCCTGCCAAGGTGCTGTGTGTTCCCCCACCCCCCCACCCACCCCCTTTTTGCTCTCCCCCAAAATGTCTTCACCCCCCATTTTCCTGCCTAGAAATGTTTTTTAATCCCCTCTGGCCTTTTCCCCCCCCCTTCCAGACCAAGAAAGTCCCGAGGAGATGGTGACGGTGAAGCCCGAGAAGGGCGATGGCGACGCCAGTAGCACCAGCAGCGCCGGCGGTGGTGAGAGCCAGGTGAGCCCGGGGAGGGAGGAACAGGCAAAACCCCCCCACCCCGGCCCCAACCAGCCATTTCCCGGCTCTGCTAGCCCCCGGGGCAACTTGTTGGCCCCCGTGGCAAAGTCCAGGGCCGAGCTGAAGGCGTTTGTTTGGCTCGGTGGAGCGTTAACGCCGGGGGACCGGCACGTTGGCAGTCAGCCCACCGCAGCCCTGGGGCTTCCCCGGCTCCCTCCCTCCCCAAAAAATGACCGTGTGTGTGTCCCCCCCAATCCCAGTAAACCCCACAGCCCCCACTGGGCTTTTCTTCAGCTGGAGGTGCCCAGAAACCACCCTATTTCTCCGCAGTCCTTCCTCCTGCGGGGAGATTCGCTCGCTTTGGGGCGGAGGAGACGTCTCTTCTTGATTATATTTTTTTTTTTCCAGGCAGATTCCCTCCCCTTTTTCCTCCTTCCCGGAGGGATTTTCCCTCTGGGTTCACTCTGTCCCGGCCTGACAGCCCTGTCTCTTGGCAGTTGTATTTTTCCGGCTGTGGGTGGGTTTTCTCAGGAAGAAGTGTTTATCTTTTTCCAAGTAGGCTCCTCCCTGCTTTCTTTTTTATTTTTTTTAATTTCTTTTTATTTTTTTTTCTCTCCCTCTCCCCAACTTTGGGCCGCCTCCCCGTTTCCTTAACTCCTCCTTTCTCCTTCCCAGGAATCGCAGCCTTCCCCCCTGGCCCTGCTGGCTGCCACCTGCAGCCGGATCGAGTCTCCCAACGAGAATTCCAACAGTTCCCAGGGCCAACAAGGCGGAGGAGGAGGAGGAGAACTGGACCTGACGGCCGCTGCCGCCCAGATCGCCCAGTCGGCCAACGGCTGGCAAATCATCTCCGCCGGTTCCAGCACCCCCACGGCCTCCAAGGAACAAGGAGGCAACGGTAACGGAGGTGCCACCACCACCACAGCCACCACCAACAATAACAACGGGGGAGATGGTTCCAAAAGCCGGCCGGTGAGCGCGGGGCAGTACGTGGTGACCACGGCTTCCAACCTGCAGAACCAGCAGGTTCTCACCGGCCTCCCGGGAGTCATCCCCAACATCCAATATCAGGTCATTCCCCAGTTTCAAACCATCGACGGGCAACAGCTCCAGTTTGCCACCACCCCAGCCCAAGTCAACGTCCAACAAGACGCTTCCGGGCAGCTCCAAATCATCCCCGGCACCAACCAGCAGATCATAACGAGCCGAGCTGGGACCAGTAACCTCATCGCCATGCCCAACCTTCTCCAGCAGGCCGTCCCCATCCAAGGGGTGGGTTTGGCCAACAACACCCTCTCGGGGCAAACCCAATACGTGGCCAACGTCCCCGTGGCCCTCAACGGCAACATCACCCTCTTGCCCGTCAACAGCGTGGCCGCCAGCTTGGCTCCCACCTCCCAGACGGTGACGTTGAGCGGCTCCGGTTCTCCGGAGAGCAGTTCCCAACCGGCCACCTCAGGGGCCACCATCAGTTCCACCAACGCGGCCACCTCTCACGCCACCAGTTCGGGGGCTTTTTTTACCAACGCCAACAGTTATTCTACCACCACCACCACCAGTAACATGGGCATCATGAATTTTTCCACCAGTTCCACGGTGGGAACCAACGTCCAAGCTCAGACCCCTCAAAGGGTGAGCGGAGTCCAGAGCTCGGACTCTCTGCAGAGCCAAGTTTCTGGGGTGGCTTTGCAACCCGGCCAACAAAAAGAGGGGGATCAAAACCAACAATCCCAACAGCAGCAGCAGATCCTCATCCAACCTCAATTAGTCCAAGGAGGGCAAACCATCCAAGCCCTCCAGACCGCCCCCCTCTCTGGCCAGACCTTTGCCACCCAGGCCATCTCTCAAGACGCCCTGCAGAACCTCCAGCTCCAAGCTGTCCCCAACTCAAGTCCCATCATCATCCGGACTCCCACCGTGGGTCCCAACGGCCAAGTGAGCTGGCAGACCATCCAGCTCCAAAACCTTCAGGTCCAAAACCCCCAGGCCCAGACAATCACCTTGGCCCCCATGCAAGGGGTCTCGCTGGGACAGACGGCCAGCACCAGCACCACCCTCACCCCCATCGCCTCCCTCCCCAGCGGCACTGTCACCGTCAACGCCGCCCAGCTCTCCTCCGTCCCCGGCCTCCAGACTATTAACCTCAGTGCCTTGGGAGCCTCGGGCATCCAGGTCCATCAGCTTCAAGGGCTACCACTGGCCATCGCCAACGCCGCCGGTAAGTTGGGGGTCTTGGTGGGGGTTTTTTTTTCCGGTCTCAGTCCCTTGTTGGTTTTGGTTTGGTTTTATTTAGGGTTTTTTTAGGGTTTTTTTTAGGTTTGGGGGGGGGGGGGGTTGGGTTTTTTTTTTATTTTTTTGGCTTTTGTGTTTGTTTATTTTTTAATCTGGAGCTGGTTGGAGCAAATTAAAAGGCAAAAAAAAAAACCCAAAACCCTGGTTCTGGGACCGTGGGGAAGGGGTGACGGGTGCCAAAAGGGGGTTGGCAAACGAGCCGGGGCTTCTGCTGGCCCCGGGAAGGAAGTGTGGAGCCTCTGCCCGTGGCTAGAAAACACCAAAAAAACACTGAAACTCAGGGTGGTTTTCTTTTTTTTGGGGGGGGAGGGGGAAGTTTCTGGTTTAATTAAGTCTCGAGTGCCGGAAAAGAAATGGAGGAGACCCCTGTGAGTGGGGCAGGAGGGGGAGAAGAGGGAGGGAATGTGTGGGGAGAAAAAGGGGGACAATGTGTGAGGAGAAGAAGGGGGGAAGATGTGTAGGGAGAAGGGGGGGACACGCTCTGTGGGTCGAGGTGGGGTTTGTGCACTTTCCTGCCCCCCTCCCCCGGGGGTTTGGGGTGAGGATTCAGAGCCGAATCCAGCTGCTGGTGCCTTATAAAACTCAGGAATAACTCGGTGCCCCCCCTTCCCTCCCCCTGGAAAACAAACACAAATCCCTGGGGAATTTCCTCGCAGGGGCGGAAGAAGCAGCTCTGGAAGCGTATATTTAGCCTGGAGTTTGGGTGCTGGGGTGATCTCACCCTGCCCCAGACGGGCTGGCGCGGAGCTTCCTCCCCCGTGTGTGTGTCCCCTCCTCATCCTCCCCCCAAAAAACCTCCCACCCTGCCCGGGGGAGTGAAATTCCCTTTGGAAATAACCCTGGAAGAGGTGGGGTGGGGGGGGCATAAGCCGCGGCGATAGAAATCGGTGTCCAAAAGGGGTTCCGTTTGTTTTCCAGCCTCTTTTTTTTTTTTTTTTTTTTTTTTTTTTTTTTTTTTTTTTTTGTTCGGGCTCGGGCTAAAAAGGCAGTTGCTGGATTTAGTCACAGCTGAGAGGCAGGAAAAAAAAAATAAAAAAAATATATATATAACGTTGCTCAATCTGCCCGGGCGCTTCCTTCTCGCGAGAGGAGGCGGCCGCTCGCCCCGGGGTTGTTTTCCAGGAGTATTTTGGAGCTCGGGGGGGGGTTTATGGGGTTATTAGGAACCCCCCCTGGATTATTACAACCCTCCGGGGTTATTACAGCCCCCGCCGTGGTCGGGATTAGCCTGATCCTTGGATTTTCCCCAGCGGAAAAACCTCCTGGGGCTGCTTTTTTGCTCCTGAGGGGGGGAGTTGCTGCCTCTAGGGACCTCTAGGGTCCCCTTGTCGTCGTCCCCCCCCCCCCCCCCCCCCC